TCCAGAGGATCAGAGTCCAGCTGGACTATGACATGGGGGAGGTGTCCTTCTACAACTCTGAAGACATGACTCACATCTGCACTCACAGAGACACTTTCACTGAAAAACTCTTCCCTTATTTCTGCGTTTACCCAGCAGGAAACGCTAAAACATCCGACATCAAAATCTGTCAGAATTTGGATGATAATGACCTTTTCAAAGCTTGGTGAAGTCATTTATTGGGAAATATGATTTTTTTCTATAGTTAGATAAAGAATAATAAAAATACTAATACTACATCATAAATGTGATTTTTCAGAGAAACATTTAAATGAGTGATTATTGATATGAATCCTTTCCATGATAAAAAAACAAAACGCTTTCCTTCCTCATGAACCTGTTTTTACTCATCAGGTGTGGCTGCAGAAGTAACAGCATTTTCTTTGAAGAGTTTCTGAAGCTGTTCTCTACGTTTTCTGTAAGTTTCTGTTTTATTACACAAAGGAAAATAACAGTGACAGACATAAATAAGTTTAAAAGAAAGGTGTCACTGACAGAGGATCAAAAACTTTTGGTTCAGTAAATCAAATGATGTCAAATGATTGATGATCAAATGATTATTTCATGTTTGTATACAGATCATATAAGGACAAGAATTGTTATTTGTTCATATTTTGTATCCATGATTGAAAATTAACTGGTAAAGATGTGATAAACAAGTTATTTTTATATTAGAGAAGAACGGTAATAGTTTCAGGTGGAGTGCTTCTTAAAATGGCATGTTCAGTTTTGTTTTCCAAGTTAAAAACAACAGTGATTAATCTAATGAAGAGTAAACTTCCCTTTGTAAATAAATTCTTCATCACACATTTTGTACTGACTGAGTTTGTTTCAGAACCAGTTTGTTTTTTTATACAGAGAATATGTGTAAACAAAAGTTCACCAACTGTGAGGTAAAGAGTGTGTATATTGTCTCATATTATATGGCTTTATTCAATACATTTAAGCATCAACCTTTAAAGTTCAATATAAACCCCAAACTTTACCCAAATGTACCATTTTTAAAAACTGACGCTAGTCAGTCTGGTTTAAGGAGTTTTTAACTCTCAAAAGACTTCATTCACACGGGGTTTTTTCGTGTGCTGCGATTATGTGATTTCTATGTGGGATAATTCCAGAATATCACAGCACAGTTTGCTAACAGCTAATTACCGGAGCTAAGCTACCCGAAGAAAACGTAAACAAACAAACGTCACTTCCGCCTTGAGCTTATTGGTCCGTTCAGTGATACGTCACCGCGTCCGCCATCTTGGATTTGGCAGAACTGCCCGTAAACTAATAAAAGGAAACGAACTGAAAACCATAAAGCGCCTTTTTACAAAGTGCTTCAAGTGAATGAATCCTATTCACCATCTCACACACACATTAATATATCTGGGAATCAAATTGGTACCAAAAAATCGTCCGTAACTTTTAAAGTGAGGTTTCTAAATGTTTCCTCCTGTCTACGATATAAGGAAGCACCAAACCAGCGTCTGTATTTTTAATGCTGAGAGTTTTCAGCTACTAATGTTTGTAACTCTGTTACTGTAATATAAATATTGTAATATTGAAATTTAACATGTAATCTGTGTCCATAATAACCAGATCCTGAAAAGTTGATGTGACTTTAGGGTTTTCTGGATATAGAGCAGAAACATTTACATTTAATTGTCTTTGAGTTTTTAAATGAAATTAAATTCACATTTATAATACACACACTCATAGAAACACACAGATATATACACATATATACACAAACAGAGCTATACTATTTAACAAAAAGTAAAGTTCTAAAAAGTATAAGACAATCAGTAATCAACATAGATTATGTCATATGCTAAAAATGAGTAATTTTAGCCATATTCTAACATTCCTTTTAGAACTGCACTTTTGTGTTAAAGTCTCTGGCTGTGTTCACAGACTCTCTTTTCTCTCTTTTCCTTTTCTATCCTTTTCTTTCTCTGTTGCATTAGATCCATAGATGTATAAAGTACTGGAGTAGAGGAGTGCAGTAGAAGTACAAGTACTAAATAAAAAAATTGACTTGAGTAAAAGTAGAAGTATTCTTTCAACACCATACTTAAGTTAATATTAGTATACAGATCATGTAAGGATATTATTTGTTATTTGTATTTTTTATCCATGATTGAAAATTAATCGGTTTAAGATTTTAAAAACATTTTTTTTATATTAGAGAAGAACTGCAATTGTTTGAAAGCTTCTTAAAATAGTATGTTCAATTTTGTTTTCCAAGTTAAAAACAACAGTGATAATATCTAAAGATGAGTAAACTTGCCTTTGTAAATAAATTCTTCATCAAACATTCTGTACTGACTGAGTTTGTTTCAGAGCCAGTTTGTTGTTTTTTATACAGAGAATATATGTTTAAACTAAAGTTCACCAACTGTGAAGTAAAAAGTGTCAATACATTTGAGCATCAACCTTTAAAGTTCATGATAAACCCCAAACATTGCCGAAATTTACTACTTTTAACTAAAATTTTCCGGAGGAAACACTGCTCTTATTGTGAAAGGACGTCCGGAAGCAGGTGGCTACTCTCGGCTAAGTGCAGGATGAAGCTGTGAGGTAAACAGCGGCCCGTGCTGCATGTAAGTCTGGTTTAAGGAGTTTTTAACACTCAAAAGACTTCATTCATAAGGTGCTTTGTTGTCTGCTGCTATTATGTGATTTTTATGTGGGATAATTCCAGAATATCACAGCACAGTTTGCTAACAGCTAATCACTAGAGCTAAGCTAGCCGAAGAAAAGAGGTACCCTTCTGTTCAGTTTTTTTTTTTATTCAGTCATTAATCGCTGTTACGCTTTCCTTTGCCATTTTGGTTTAAACGTTACAGATATAAGAAATAATTTCTTATACAGAAATAATTTAGAAACAATTCCTTTAACATACGACTTTATTGAAAGTCTTTTGACTCAAAGAAATGTTAAATAGCTTTCTTCCTTAAATGAAATCCTCCTTAAATGTGTGATACTCAGGAAAAACCTGCTAACCTGAGTTATAAAGTGTAAATGCTCCATGGAAAGGGTTAACAGGGAGCTTTCGTTGAGGCTTTGTTTGTGAAAGCCCACTTTATTATTTTGGAGCTCAGACACAAAACATTTTATTTCCCCTTTTTTCCAGAAACTACAGACCCCACCACTGCCTTTAACTGGAATTATGTTTATGTTTATGCATTTGGCAGACGCTTTTATCCAAAGCGACTTACAGAGTAGACACAATATTACATTTCTCATCACTATGACAATAAGCTATATAGAGGAGAAACACTGA